TCATTAGGAGCTCATATCAGTTATCCCAATGTATCAAATTCTCTGTCAAGTTGGGTCACAAGCCCCCTCTCGTGCACAGACCATGCTTTAATTCATTGACGTCCTTACATTCACTTGATCAGATTGTACAAATGCGATCAGTAAATCACGCTGTGATGCCTTCTTACAGCTGGCAATAGTCCAGCCCTGGTTCCTCCCTAGCCAGTGAGATGGCCCATCAAATTTGATGAAGACATTCACACACATTTGTTTCAGCACCTCACTGGTTTTAAATTATGTCCCTCAGTCTTTACACGTTGCTCATCTAATTCTGGCTTACAGAGCAAAATTTTGAATACCATCCCTGCTCTGAATCCTTTACATACTTGCATGCAGCTTATTTTGTCATCTGACATCAGTTATTTCCGCATCTTTGCAACAGGCAATGCAAACAATGCAAGTCTTCATTCATCTGTTCACAGCCTCAGTTTTCCTCTGATCCCACACATCAGCCTTCCTTCCTGCTCCTTGCCATTCTCTCGCAGAGCTGTTCCACCAACTTTTCTACTCCAACATCCTTTCTTCTGTGAAAGCAGTGCAAAACAGAGAAACGCACGTACCGTAAGGTTTAACCTCTTACTACTGTCCGTGCCCAGATTTTACAGCTTACCTTGAAGAAACACAAGCCACCTGGAAAGCTCCAAGAAGCCTTTCCAATGCAGTGGTCTGCAGAGGTCTCCTTGTGCGGAGGCTGTCCCAACAAGCAGAAGTGCAGAAGACGTGCAGAACTGGGTCCAGCTACCCCTCCCTCCCGTCCTTCCCAGGAGGCTTCTCCTGAAGAAAGCAGCCCGGTAAAAGTCTCTGAAAAGGTCCAAGCAATGTGATGTGGTTAAGGGCTCTGCAAGCAGGGCAGAATGCCCCTACTGCTCAGCTGTTTTGAACACTTAGATAAGCCCCTCCTGCATTATACAGCTGTGTTACATGATGTATTGAAGAAAAAAGGAAAAACAGCTGGAAGAGAACCTCTGTCTATGAAGTTTGCTCTGCTGGGAAGGCTTGGGCAGGCTGCACACAGCACGGGTCAAAGCAAGGCAGTGTGGTTGACTGCTTCAAGCTGTATGAATAATTAGGAGAATTTGCTGGAGAAAAAAGTGTGTGGGACTAGCTGGAATAAGAGAGAACAACATATAATAGCCAAGCACTTCCTTAATAAAAGCTTTCACCAAATGAACTCTTCAGACTCCCAAAAGACACCTTCAAGTATCTGTATCTTACTAGTCATTGGCATTTCAACATTTATTACCGCAGTCAAGCTACTATATTGCAAGCATGAGTCAATGCCTGCATCTTCTGGCTCCAGAAGAAAGGGACTGTTCTAATTTTTATTTATAATCTGGGCAAGTGGAGAGAGAGGCATTCAGTTACAGGCAAAGCACACACTGCTCTACGAGGCCGGGTAGGCTGGTTAATACATCTGTGCCTTAGCGTACTGAGTCACCTGGCAGGTACCACAACCCATCTCTGCAACCTTTCATCTAAGGCCTCAGAAAAGGGCTTCGTAAATCATTTTTGTCGCCTTCCAGCACAAAGCCCATGACCCCCACACTACTCACTGCAGACTTCCAGCTCCGAATAGAGTATGCTACGATCCAAACTGGGAGTTTCTGGCAAGAAGCGCCTGTGAATATGTACACAATATAAAACAGGAAGAAGGATTTCAGTTTATCTGTGCTCACTTGGGCTTGTTTGTTGCTTGGAGAAAAAAAAAAAAACAAACCTGGCAGGCTTCCCACCACTATGCAATAGTCTAGGAAGGCTCTTGTCACCTGGGGACGCACATGCTGATGTGTGAGTGAAGAGAGCAATAGCGAGGATTCATGGGGTTTTCAGCATGATCCTAATAAACTCTGTCATGCTACTAGTGTTAAGACGGGAGCACTGAACAGAAACTGCCTTAAGAACTACTGACAGCTTCTTTCCAAAAGCTAAAAACTGTCATTTTCATGAGCTATTTCTTTACGCCAAAGCACAGAATGGATTTCCAAAGGTTTGTATGTGGTTTTATGCAGTATTTACCAGCCTCTTCAATTTATTCTGCACTCAAATCCAGCATCCTTGATAAAGGAAGATAATATCAGCTTATATGAAATACCACATCATCTTACATCCCACACAAAGCTTTAGCCTGAGGATTTCCGGACAGACACAGTTCATCTAAAGCACTTGAAGGTAGTTGGGGGGTCATGGGATCAAGTCGCATATGCATTTCCTTTCTTCTCCGCCATCCCTCCGGTTAAGCTTGTGCTCCTGAATTGCTCTTTTGCAATAGGGTAAACAAGTAAATGTTTTGGGCTCAGGCGATACCTGTTGTCTATAGAAGCAAGCTTATTTTGCCTTTTTGGGCTTGTCTTTAGAAATCTAGCATCCTACAGGAAAGAAAAATATCAGAACATCTCAGAACTGTAGTTTTTTCAGAAAAAACGTTTGTCATTCATACAGAGGATTTCCAACTACCACTGCCTCTTGATGAAGGGAGAACAAGCACTGCTATCCCTTTTTCAGAGCTGACAAAGCAGATACGGATTAAGTGATTGCCAAGCACGACTTACTGGGTTAGCAGCACAAGCAGTAAATATAGTTCTGGACTTCCAACACTGGTGCTTCAGCTTCTGGGCCATGCTTTTTGCATTCGAATTACTAGTTTTTGTGTGTTCCTAGAATTCATTTATCTCTTTCTATGATAACAATCTGTAGGTTTTGAGTCTCTAAAAACTAACATAGACACTGCAAAGGTTGAATAAAATTAGTTCTTTTTGCTACTATCTTTGCCACTGGTAATGGAAAGAGAAGATGGTGGACACAGAGACAAACACCAGCAGCTAAACTTTTATTGCACTCTCTGCTTCTGAAGTCCATTCAAGAGTAGGACAGTGGGACAAAAATAATTATAGGGGTCTTTCTACACAAAAGAGCCAGCTATTTAGAGGCAGGCAAAGTCATTTGAATGTCAATGAAATAACCATTAAAAGGCTGAGAAGCATTGTCATTTATTAAAAGATCTAAAGAATAGTTGCATGCACTATAGCAATCTTCTAGGTAGGAGTTGTTAATTTGGTATAAAAACCTATTAGGGACAGGGCAGAGCATAATTAAACAGGAGACAATACACACTGTGAAAAGGAAACTGGCTTGGGAATTTTACAGCCTCTTATTTCATGTTTCTACATGAAATACTCCGCTCTGTAATCTCTCCTCAGTAACACCTATGTATTTCTAGCTCCCACAGCGTTTTGCGTTTCATTTCTAGCAGTGGTCCCCTTCAGCCTAGGGAAGAAGGTAAAACAAGGTTACGCACTTGAATGCCCTTCCACTATTTCCAGCCTCACGGCAATCCTTCTTCCGAGAAAGCCTCTCATCAATGCCACTCCTTAATTGGCCCAAGAGCCCCTCTTTAAACAAAGCTCTCGTCTCCCACAGGGCCAAGCTCTTTCTGCTATTCTGGCAGAGCTAAATCCAGACAAGGATCTGCCATTTACCAACACAAACGTACTATAAATTCAAATGCACAGGAAAGAAGTGAGGTACTTCCAGGAGAAGCTGTTGATATTCTGCAGGTAGAGATTTGCAGGTAGGACAGACCGCATCTGGAGAAAACCTTCTATCTACATGTAAGCCTGTCAGGTTGTTACTTCAAGAAAAAGTGTAAGACACTAGTAACACCTCTCTGCAACAAATATACCATTAGTCGGAGACCCTGAGTAGATCCCACACTAATGCACTGAACGTGAGCTAAACCAGACTTAGGTAAAAAACTTTGTTACATAGCTACAGGACAGATAAAGTTTTCATGAGTTAGACAGGAAAGGATTCCACATTGGTAAAGGTTATCACTTTTTAACATTAAGACAAAGCAGTAAGAATGAATATTCAGGGGAAGTGCAGCTTTAACTTCTTCTTTGGCGGCAACCCTGGCGTCTTTGCCGTCTGCTCACACGCTGCCAGGTGAGTAAAATGTATCCTACATTTTCCTTCCCTTGACTGTTATTCTGAGGCACCATGGTTCTTTCTGTACTCAGCTAGCGTAGCTAAGTATGCCATAATATTTGAGAAAAAAAGTAAATACAAATGCCCACAGCAAGACTAAGTAGCAATTGTTTGACATCACCCATGATACCCATAGGCACAGAATTCTCCGCTGATATATATCAGACAAACATGTCATTTAAAATACTTTGTTGTTTCTCCTTTATTTAGCCACAACACAGATACAAGAGCAGTCAAACCCCGTCCAGTGGAACTCACTAGATAAACCTGTTCAGATTAAAATTCTCATGAAATCAACCAAAATATACATGTACACACACACACTCTCATGCACACAAGAATGCAGCAGAGCCCTTACAAAATGAGGAGTGGCACTGAACTGCACCTAAAGGTAAAACGCAGTAGGAAAAAAATCAACCGGGCAGGGTACATCTGTTTCTTAAGCAAGAAGGCTGTGCACTGAACAGGTTCCCACCGTACCATTCCACTGGATATTTAAACACCAGCATCATTCCTTTCAGGTGCAAATTTGAAGCTCATAGAGGGAAGGAGTCTGATCTCAGTTACCCAAGAATATGGGGTAATGGAACAGTTACTCCACTGTAACTCAAAGTAGAGTCTGGCCCTATGAAATGAGCACGCATACGTCCGGCTCCAGCTGGAGGACTACTGCAGATGGCAACTTCTTTTTTCCTTCACTTCCCCAGCAGCTAAACCCACCCCCAATATAGTGTGTAATTTGGCTTTTGCACCCTCCCCACTCCAGGGTTTGCTCTAAAGCACATACTGCTCCTTTTGGTGGAAGAAAAAGCATAGTGGTTCTGTGATGTAAGTAAACGTCCACTAGGGACTAGAATAAGACCACCAAATATACCAAACCACTGCAGAAGAAACAGAAATTGGGGTCTTCGATAAAGCTGGTCAAGCTGGTCCATCTGATTTGTCAACGCTTTGTTCAGAAATATAAGACTCAAATATAGTTTACAAAAAAAGTAATTCTTTCTAGAACATCTCAATGTCAAAATACTAACAAAAATGCAGCTTGTTAATGCTGAGAAGAGTGGTCTTGGAAAAATTAATAACTAAACTAGGCCATTGCTAACAGTAATGGGTGATATCTCTTCATAAAAAGGCGGTCTGACATACTCAGGAAAAATGAAACATTTGAAACAAATTGTTTACAAAAAATATTTAAATGCTCAGCACAGATCTAACACAAGTGTTAACAACCACTATTGTAATTTTATTTTTGGACAACTTCAGCAACTATTTAAAAAAAAAATCGCTAATACAAAAATGTAGAAAACAAAAAGAAAAATCCAAAGAGACAATTTTTAGACAAACTTAGTTAAGGTGAAGCTGTACCTTTGTCCCAGTTATTAAGAACTTCAACTTTAAGCGTGGCATAACCCAGCTCAGCTAGGTTTGTAGGCTTCCCCACCCTTACTAAAGAGTTAGTTCTTAGAAGGCTCCAATCTCAGTCCCCCAGGGTCTGTATGGTTTGCCAAGGGCTGCTGACTGTGTCGGTGCAGACGGGCTCAGCATGTTAGGGGACAGCAGATGGAAGGAGCCAAACGAAAAGGGGAACGCAGACAGAGATGCCATGGAGGAGAGAAGAGGAGGAGACAGTTTGGTAGTAGATGTGACCACGGGGAGCACCGGTCCAACGTTGCCATTTGGGGGCACTCTGAGTGAGGAAGTTTCAGCATGTGGGGCGGCAATTCTGGTCTGGTGATGTGGTTCTGTGGAAGATGCTGTAGTACTGGTATTACCGTGCCCATTTTGAGCCAGCAGCAACGGGTGAGATATGTGAGGGTGATGTCCAAAGGCACTGCCCCAAGGAATGTGTCCAATGCCAGTGTGTGCACTACTTGCTGCTTCCCGTTGAGAGGCGTAGTTATTGAGATGAGACACAAGTCGAACTCGCAGAGGATCGGAGGCATCCAGACCCTCTATAATACTAAGGTATCGAGCAACTTCAGCCAGGCACTCTCGAAACCCTAGACTCCGATAGTCCATAGCCAAAGCATGAGCATCAAAATAACCTAAGAGAAAAGAACAAAGAATGGAGTCTTAAGATGCTGTTTTCTAGTCATTGTCTACAGGTAGCCTCCCCACTCCACCCTCCCCTATAAGCATATTTCACTTGGATGTGGTTAGTATTCCCAACCATAGATTAGCTGCCAAGCTCCTTTTTTTTTTTTTTTCTTTTTTTGTCTAACAACCTTTTCTTTTATCTCTGTGCTGTGATGCTGCAAGTCCCGAGACCAGTCACAGAGTGCCATTTTTAAACTGAAATTGCACACTGCCACTGGAGGAAAGTACTTTTGTTCTTTTCATGTCTCCCCGGTGCAAGCAAAACCACAGCACAGTGAAGTTCATTAGAAACATAAGTCCTACATTATCAGAGGGGACTTCTGCAAGCAACATACTTTTTTCTTAAAAGCGCATTTCACCCTATGTGCTAATTATCTTTGCTACTCATTTCATCCTGGTTTTTTTTCTAGTTTCTGTTCTGAACTTTCAGAAAGTTCAAGAAACAAACATTTGACAACAACAAAAACTTTGTGTTTTCCAAATTGCCAAAAGCCGATTCACTTCACAGTGCTGACACATTGCTAGAGAAACTTGTAATCACTCTCCCCTAGAACAACCCGGAGCTAGCACTGTAAAATGTGCTAGCGACGCCACAAATCTCATCAAGTAGAAGAAAGTCCCAAATTCCTGATGAAACGTAAGAGAATGTCCCCTCACTTTCTCCAAGGGCTCCCACAGCACACTGCACACCAAGCGCTAGGGCATGCACTCCTCTCGCAGCAGCCTCTCTGCAGGGCTGCTCTGCTGACCCCACTGTCAGGCATGAAACTTTACCTTTCCCTCCTGCCGTATGCAGCATTTTCAGATGATCGACAGTCATCTGCAGAATCTCTGCTTTTTCCAGCTTGGCTGATCCCTAAGAGAGAAGGGGAAGCGTGAAACTTTTTAGGCAGAATCAGAAACGCTTAAAGAGGGGCGACCCTTCCTCCCGGGAACAGGGGGGAGGCAGTACGGGGGGTCACTGGGCACTACCTGCTTCTCAAAGGCGCTGGGCACCAGCCTCCTCAGCTCGGACAAGCTGTTGTTGATGCGATCGCGGCGGCGCTTCTCAATGATCTAGGGCAGAAAGCGGAGGGTCAGGGGCGGGCCGGGGCTGAGGAGAGCCGCGGC